AGATGTTGGATCTTTTTTTTTTTTTTTGGTTATTCAATCTAAAAGCAAATGCAATCATGTGTTAAAATTTTAATTTAAATCACTCTCATTTTAGAAAGTTTTCTTTATGCTATTAGAAATTTTACATATGTAATACCCAAGCATGCACTTACAATTTTAATTTTTATTATTTATTTATTTTTTATTATGAACTTCTAAATACGTGAATCATTTTGTAGAATCAAATTATCCTCTTTATTATGAAAAGACATTACAATAATCAGTGGCGGAGGGACATAGGGGTGAGGGGGGTCACGTGTCCCCCTTGACTTTTCAATTTTTTTTTTTTTTGATGGGTTCTTGCTTACACACAGTGCCCCTCCCAAGCATAATACACAACCCTCCCAATTTATCCAAACACACTGACACACCACTCGCAGCCACTTTTTTTTTTTTTTGAATCCCAATCCCAACCAAACACCGACACACAACTTTTTTTTGAGTGAGTGCACATAACTCCAATTACGGCAAGGCTAAAACCCTAAAACCCTAAACGTGTATGAAATTCTTCATTTTTTTTATTTATTCACAATACTTGTTAAGTGTTTTCATATTTTCTTTGTCTCCCTTGTCTACCTTTGTTGCTTTGCAATTTACCGACTCGCGATTCACCAGATTAGGATCACACAACACAGATTTGGGACCACACTACAACCTTGATATCTTCTCTTCATTGTTTATAGGTAATTTTATTTATTTATTTATTTATTTTTACTTTTAAATAAAAATTATGATTATTAATTTATAGTTATTTGTCAAGTTTTGATTTGTAAAATTTTTTTATTTGTTATTATTTATGTTAAAATAAGAGACTTTGATATGCTAAAATTATGAATCTTAATTGGGGTGATTTATATTAAAATTAGGGATTTTGATTTGTTGTTGTTTGTCCTAAAATTAGGGATTTGATTTGTGCTAAAATTAAAAATATCAATTTGCAATGATTAATATTTAAATTAGGGATTTTGATTTGTTATAGTTTGTGCTAAAATTGGAAATTTTAATTTATTGTAATTTGTGCTAAATTTAAATTTTTTGATTTGTATTAAAATTGGAGATTTTGATTTGTGGGGGTTTGTGATTTTGATTATGAATTTTTATTTTGATTTTTAGTTTTTTCAAACAGTCATGGAAAAGTATTTCAAAAGAAAATTAAAGTTGGAATTATCTCTTTCTCAATAAAAAGATGATAATTATTCTTCCGCAAAACAAAGTCGTATAGAAATCAACTTAGTAGACCTTTCTGTAGATCCAGGACTACGACCTCGGATTATGGACTATAATGCTAATGATCGAGACCAAATTCGTAGGGCATATTTACAAAAAACTCCTTGTCAACCTTGTGATCATAATTTTCCACAAAAATCATTTGGACAAAAACTTCGGCAATTTAATCAGGCTTGGTTTAATGAATTTCCTAATTGGTTGGAGTATAGCGTAGTAAAAGATGTAGTATTTTGTTTATGTTGTTATCTTTTCAAACTTGATATTAGAGATCAAGCTGGTGGTGATTCTTTTGTTGGTGAGGGTTTCTCAAATTGGAATAAAAAAGAAAAAATTCAGACTCATGTTGGTGGTCCCAATAGTGCTATAATCAAGCTTCGAGTAAATGTCAAGACTTGTTAAACCAAAACCAACATATTCAAACAATTTTTTTTTAAACAATCTGATCAAGCTCGAATTGAGTATCAAACCCGTTTGAATGCATCGGTTGATTGTGTCAAATTTCTTCTAAGACAAGGACTTGCGTTTCGTGGGCATGATGAATCTGAAAATTCAAGTAACCAAGGAAATTTTCTTGAACTTATCAAGTTTCTTGCTGATCATAATGAATATGTCAAAGTGGTTGCATTGAGCAATGCTCCACAAAATCTCAAGTTGACATCTCCTGATATTCAAAAATACATTGTAAATGTGGCCACATTTGAAACTATCAATGTGATTATTAGAGATCTTGGTGATGCACTTTTTTCTATTTTGATTGATGAAGCCCGTGACATATCCATCAAGGAACAAATGACAGTTGTAATACGATATGTTGACAAAAAAGGCCATGTGATTGAGCGCTTTTTAGGTATTGAGCATGTTACTAATACGAATGCTCTCTTACTCAAACAAGCTGTGGAAATTTATTCTCCAGACTTGGATTAAGTATTTCTTGATTACGGGGTCAAGGATATGATGGGGCTAGTAATATGCAAGGTGAGTTCAATGGTCTTAAAACACTTATACTGAAAGAGAATCCTTGTGTATATTATGTTCATTGTTTTGCTCATCAATTGCAATTGGCACTTGTAGCCGTGGCAAAGAATCATAATCAAATTTCTTTACTTTTCACTTTGGTTTCTATTGTGGTGAATGTTATTGGAGCATCATGTAAACGCCGAGATATTGTTAGGGAGAAGCAAGCTGTAAAAGTTGATGAGACACTTAATATTCGAGAGCTATCTAGTGGGCAAGA